TAGTGGGCAAAGCTTGCGCCTCGGCCCACCTAGAGACGTAGTCAATAGCAACTAAGATGTAAGTGTTTCCAAAGGATGGAGGGAAGGGGCCCATGAAGTCGATACCCCAGACATCAACAATTTCACAGGTTATAAATACATTATGGGGCATCTCATCACGAGCAGAGATATTACCTGACCTTTGGCATCGGTCGCACCTACGTGCGAAGGCGGAATAGATAGGACGGAAATGTTGATCTCGCCTCTGCCCCAAGACAGCTCCAACAGCAAAGTCATTGGCATCGCTCATCAGCTCGAACGGTAGGGACCAGTCAGGGGCGACCTTGATAGGAGCATGAGTGAGCTTCTCCTTCAAGGTCGTGAATGTCGCTGTGCATGCATCGGTGAACTGGAAGGGGGGCATCCTTCTCAAGGAGCTTAGTCATGGGCAGGGCGATCTTCGAAAAATCCTTGATGAACCGCATGTAGAACCCTGCATGGCCTAAGAAACTCCGGATCCCCTTAACATATGTGGGAGGAGGCAGCTTACTGATAGTCTCGATAGTGGCCCTGTCCACCTCAATCCCCATCTTGGAGATCTTGTGCCCCAGAACTATGCCTTCGCGAACCATGAAATGACACTTCTCCCAACTAAGTGTCAGGTTCGTTTCTTCACACCGTTTAAGGATGAGTTCTAGGTTATGGATACAGTGAGAGAATGAGTCCCCATAAATCGAAAAGCCGTCCATAAACACCTCCATAATCTTGCCGAACAAGGGGTCAAAGATGGCGAGCATGCATCGCTAAAAAGTGGCAGGGCATTACAAAGCCGAATGGGATCCTCTGGTAGGCAAATGTGCCGAAGGGGCAGGTGAAAGTGGTCTTTTCCTAGTCCTCCGGTGCAATGGGGATCTAGAAATACCCGGACATCCCATCCAGGAAACAGTAGAACTCGTGCCCCGCCAGTCTCTCTAACATCTGGTCAATGAATGGCAGCGGGAAGTGGTCCTTCCGAGTGGCATAGTTGAGACGCCGATAATCGATGCAGACACGATACCCAGTCACCGTGCGCATCGGGATGAGCTCGTTCTTCTCGTTAGGCACCACGGTCATCCCACCCTTTTTGGGTACCACCTGGGTGGGACTGACCCACTCGTTGTCGGAAATGGCAAAGATGATCCCCGCTTCCATCAGCTTCACGATCTCCGCCCGAACCACAGCCTCCAGGTTCGGTGTCAGTCTCCTCTGCGGCTGTCTCACTGGCCGCATCTCATCCTCTAGCAGTATCCGGTGGGAGCAGAAGGAGGGGCTGATCCCCCGGATATCAGTGATCTTCCACGCCAAAGCTCGCTCGTACTGCTTCAACAAGGCCACTAGTCTGACCTTCTACTCGGGTGTGAGGGTTGAGCTGATGATGACTGGAAGCTTATTCCCCTCCCGGAGAAATGCATAGTCCAAGTGAGGAGGGAGGGGCTTTAACTCCAGCTCTGGTGGCTCCTCCAAGGAGGTAGTGATGCGAGGTAAGGATGAGATCGGTTTGAACATCCTATCGTCCTCCAGGAATGCGCCACTCTCCAGCGCGGCGAACTGCTCCTCCAACTGCGGCTCCTGCGATTCCTACTCGTTATAGCGAGTGCGGTCTCAAAATCTGCAAGCACATCACAGTAATCTAAGTCATCATGCAAATGGGAGTGTTTCCCATTCTCAGACAAATAAAAAGTAGCCTGTTCATCCCCAGCACGCAAGATCAATTTACCACTATGCACATGAATAAGCGCCTTGGCGGTGGCGAGAAACGGTCTTCCCAAAATCAAAGGCACATCCACATCCTCATTTATATCCAGAATAACAAAATCAACAGGATAGGTGAATGCGCCTGCATTAACAAGAAGATCCTTTATGATACCCCTAGGCTGCACAATAGAACGGTCAGCTAACTGAATGCTCATCCTAGTAGCTCTTGGTTCACCTAGGTCTAGCTTTTTAAACAATTTGTAAGGCTTGACGTTAATGCTAAAGCCTAAGTCCGCCAAGGACTTTCCTACATGCATGTTTCCAATAACAAGAGGGATAGTAAAACTCCATGGGTCTTTGCGCTTCTCGGGCAGCTTGTTCTGCAGGATAGCAACACACTCCTCGCTCAGCATCACTGTCGAAAGATCCCCAAGTTTCTTCTTGTTGGTGAGGAGATCCTTCATGAATTTAGCGTACTTGGGCATCTTCGACAGTGCCTCCACGAACGACATGCTGATGTTAACCTGCTTCAACATTGCCATGAACTTGGCAAACTCAGTCTCCAGCTTGTCTTTGTGTAGGCGAGTGGGGAAGGAAAGCTGGGGTACATGCTCATTAACCACTGGCTTTGGCTTGGGAGAAGGTGCTTCTTTCTCCATCCCCTCTTCTGCATCGTCAGCTTGAAGTGTTGAAGCAGGTAGTGGCTCTTCTTGCCTGGCCTGCACAGGAGCAGCAAATGTGGTCTTGCCACTCCTGGTAGTGATGGCATCCAGCTGCTGGTGAGGCTCGCGAGGATTTGGAATGTTGGTGGCAGGCAAAGTCCCCGGTGCTCTAGTGTTATTTTGGCGAGCAATGCCACCAAACTGGTTCTGGAGATCCTACAGTATAGCACCCTGGTTCCTTTGACATCTGGGTATCTGGAGCTGGAGCTGCTAGCGGCTGGGCATACTAGCATTGTGGCTGCTGGAATGGCTGCCCCTGTTTGGGCTGGTACGGCTTCTGCTGTGGAGCTGGGCCCTGCCTGGCCTAGAAGGGCTGCTGCTACTGAAAACCACCTGCTGGTGCTGGGAAACCAGGTGGTTTAGTGGTGTTGCTGTTATTCCAGGAGAAGTTGGGGGTGTTGGCACCAACCTTCATTATAGGTACCATTGTAAGGACAAATGGAGGGATAGTTCATGGAATGCAGGCATGTAGTTGGAATTTACGTTTCACAGACTCATCATCTCATATCGAAGTTGGCCGTATTATTAGATTAGATGATAGATTACTCAATTAGCTAGGAGCCTGGTTCGAAATTCGAATGAATGCCCACAAAATGCTAGAATAACTTAAATATGTGATAAGATGTTTAGCAACCTATGGTAATAAATTTGCAGCCTAAAATTGGGTTCCATACATAACAATAGACACTAAATTGATACAAATAGTATAGAAACGAAAGACGAAGTGCTTGCAACCCACTTACCATCTTTGCTTGAACTGTTTTCAATGTCGATTTGCGACTGCCACAACTCCTTGAATTCGGACTATCCACATTCCTGCGCCATACTGTTCCCTTCTGATAACAAATAATACTGGGGGACTGAAACAGGAACATCTGCTTGTTGTTGCCTGAAAGTGATTTGAATAGGAAGATGAAGGGAATCTGATTTAAGCCGAGGAAGACACCATTGGAAGCGATTCCTGGTCACAACGGAGGAACCAGCATGTCAGGTAGCGGGATTGACGACTCCTCGCTTCCCCGGCCGGAGTATCAGGTCTTCGAGGAGAGTGGAGGAGGTTGGTGGTTTGCACTTAGGTAACCAGTTCGCGGAGCGAGAGCGGGAGCGTGAAAGCGTCTATTTTTAAAGAATTTGATATTCAGAGCGTAGAGAGAGCGTCATTATTATATTATAATTAATTCTTTATTTTAATATAACTATAAATATTATGCAATATAATAATTAAAATACACGAATATAATGTAATGACTAAGAAATTTGATGACTGATTTATAATCTAATTTTTAAGTAACATATTAGTAATTTACATTTAAGATAAATATATATTTAGCATTAAATAAATTCCTAAACCTAAATCACCATTCCCCACCACACGTGAACCCCCATTTTTCCCTTTTGTTTCTTCCAGGCCGCTACTCTCTCTCTCTTTCATCAATAACCAGAAGAAATCGTTCCCCTCTTTCTGGGCTTGGGGGAGCTTGTAGCTGCATGCGATTGATCGAAGCTTTAGCTTTCCCGGTACCCAGATCCAAAGTCGAGCTTTATCCTCTTCTTCTCTATTGTGATTGTGAATTGGAAATTCTTTCAATCCAATTCCAAACCCACTTGTGAATCCCCCTTCACTTTCTTCGTTTTATCTGCTTCCCAAATCGATGGTTCCTGGTTTCGCTTTCGATCACCCTGAAAAAATTGCTCAACAGGAAATCATCATCAACAACAACTGGTAGCTTCACAGCAACCAATTATTTTATCCAAACTCCTCTGTTCAAGTCCCCGCTCCATCTCCCCTGTTTCTCCCTCGTTGACCCAGGGGTCAATTCTGAACCCACCCTCTCCAGCTTCCAACTTCTCCCTTGTCGAGCATAAACTTGGGTCGACGATTCGCGCTCTGCTGCGAAGTAGTTCGCGAATTAACTGCGAACTTGAACCAAATCGCATTTTCGCGGTTTAGAGCGGGAGCGACAGGGGTGGATAGGCGAATTGGGTTATCTAAGTCTGCACCTGCGTTGGCGGCAGATGCGGCGACGGTGGAGGCAGATTCCGGCGAGTACAGGTCTCCAGATGCGATAGGGAAACAGAAAGAGGGAAAGAGGAGATTGACGATTTGTCGACTCCAAGGCTGGAGTTCAATGGGAGTGGAGAAGTTGGTTATGCACGCCTCCGGTGGAAGCAGAAGCGGCGAGATTGGAAGGAGAGTCGACGATGACTCTGAGTCTGAGTGAATTGCTGAAATCACTTTCCTCTTAGTGGGCCAGTGGGCTCGTTCAGCCACACGAGAGGGGCTGTGCAATTTTCCGTGTCCGAAAATACCCCTCCGAGAAACGCTCTGGAGGCAGCAAATTTGAAATGGGGAAGTTGTTTTCCCCTTCAGCGTATTATAAGTAGAGTAGAGATAGATATATTGGTTAAGTAACAACTAAGCGAAAAAGGTTAAGTGCGAAAATCCGAAATATTAGTGCTTATTGATTAAACACAGTAGTAATTCACTTAATAATTAGTCATTCTATTATATTTAATAAAATACTTATCAAATTCATCTAAAAATTCCAAAGTCAATTTTTGGAAATTGCTTAAACCCGTTCGATGAATTCAAAATTTATAATAGTAAATGAATTTCTCTATTCCAAATGCAAATAATTTGATTTCATGAAAAGTTAGTTCGCAGCAAACGGTAATGTAAACGAGTAGAGAAGGAAGTTGAACTGAGAAGAAGTTTTTTTTGATAATGGTGATTTTATTGAAGAAAGAAGAAATAGAAAAGTACCAAGTACAAAGGGGGAAAAAAAACAGCTCCCGAAACAAAGACAAGGACCTTGTCAAAAAAAAAAAACAAAACAAAGACAAGGAGAAAAAGGGGTTCAGGTAGAGGTGGCAATTAGGATCCAAATCCATGAATCCAATCCAATCCATCCACCAAATTATCCACTTAATCCAATCCATTTAAATCCAATCCATTTGATCCAAATCCAATCCATTTGATCCAAATCCAATTGGATTGGTGGATTCATGGATCAATCCATGGATCCAAATGGCAAATTACGATTTGGTACCTATATTTTTAATAGTTTACATTTTGGTACCCAAAATTTATATTTTTATACGAAAAAAATCATTGGAAAATTACATTTTGGTACCTAAAATTTTTCATTATGACATTTTAGTACCTAAACTTTTCAAAATTTACATTTTGGTCCAAGCCTTGGATGTCATTTGGATTCATGGATCAATCCACTAATCCATTGGATCCAATCCATGAATCCACCAATCCATTGGATCCAATCCATTTGATCCATGGATCCACCAATCCAATTCACCAATCCACGAATCCGATCCAATTGCCACCTCTAGGTTCAGGAGAAGTTTATCCGCTCTAGTCTCTAATCTACAACCGTCCGGAAGCCTAAAAGGAAAAAAGAAGAGCGAATAGACGAGGTCCAACAAATGGAGCTAGCTTCGAATCTCTCTGCTGCTGATAGGTTCACGGTCACGACGCCGTCGAGTCTCAACGTAACCCGCCATTTCTGCGCGAGGAACTTGTGCAGACCCAGTCAATTTCGATACAGAGCTACAAGCGGTTCCAGCACTGAGAAGAGAAGTAGTAGTCCGCCCCTTGTCTTGTCGAGGAAACATGAGCTTTTGATCAACGAACTTCAACTCGACCAGGGCGAAGCCGACTACGAAGAAGGTTTGCTGTCGCTCAGTGTGAAGCCTAACAGAAGCATGGCTTTGCTCGACGACTACGAGATGGAAGAACTCGACTACTCTGCTGACCCTAACCATCGAAGCGGTTAGCTCTTGTTATACAGTCGATTTATGCTAATTTGCTACCAATTTTCCTTTGACAGAGTTGATGGTGAAATTGCAGGATATGTTGCTGTGGTTGGTAAACCGAATGTTGGAAAGAGCACATTGTCAAACCAAATGGTAGGACAGAAGTTGTCCATAGTTACGGATAAGCCTCAGACTACCAGGCATCGAATTCTTGGTATATGTTCTGGCCCAGACTATCAGGTTTGATATTTGGAGTTTTGTTAATGGTTGCTAATATGTTGGTTTGCTGTACTTCATTTGAAAGAGTTCTTGCATCAATGAGCAAAAGATTCCCGTATCAATTGGGTTACATCCAATAGCAGCAGAATAACTGAAAATCCCTGGAATGTAGATAATCGGGTGCAAGATGTTTGAGCTCTGTGTCCTTCATTTGATATAAAGGGTTACTTGCAGATGGTACTCTACGACACACCCGGTGTCATCGAGAAGAAAATGCACAAGCTAGATACCATGATGATGAAGAATGTCAGGAGTGCAGCAGTTAATGCTGACTGTGTACTAGTAATCGTTGATGCAACCAAAATGCCCGAAAAGGTAAAAGAAATTTGTTGGCTGTTAAAGACTGTTTAAAGTGGTTCTAGTTTACTATAGCTAGAATCCCTGATCCAGATTGATGAGGTGTTCGAAGCCGAAGGTGCTGGTAGCCTCAAGGACAATGTGCCTATCTTGCTGGTGCTAAACAAAAAAGACCTCATCAAACCTGGTGAAGTTGCAAAGAAGCTTCAGGTTGGAACTCTCAGCTTTCGTTACTAGCACCTCCGGTTATTTTCATGTGTTGGGTTTAGGCAATTGAATGTTACATGTTATTAGAATGTTAACTTAAAGGAAGTGACATCTGTGCAGTGGTATGAGAAATTTACCAATGTCGATGAGGTTATTCCTGTCAGTGCAAAATATGGTCATGGAGTAGAAGATGTCAAGGAATGGATACTATCCAAACTTCCGTCGGGGCCTGCTTACTATCCGAAGGTCATTCCTCTTTTTTGTCAATATAGTTTCTTGAGCCATCTTCTTAGCATATAGCTGCATCTGTAATTAGCACCCTGCACCAGAGTAGAGTACCCTTGAGGAATAATTTCATTTTTTGCAACCAATTCGACTGATTGGCTGTCCTCTCGTTGAACTTGTTCCTGGAATCTTTAGCTTTTAGTTGGGCTGATTTTGTAGGACATCATCAGCGAGCACCCAGAACGATTCTTTATTGCAGAAATAGTAAGGGAAAAGATCTTTATGCAATTCCGCAATGAAGTTCCTTATGCAAGTCAGGTATGCTGAAATGTTTGCCAATTCTGCAAGCTGTCCGATTCACATATTAGATGGGGAAAGTGCTCACTAATTGATGTAGCATGCTGCTAAAGTATGTTTTTTTGTGCCTTCAGGTAAATGTAGTGAGCTATAAAGCTAGGCCAGGAGCAAAAGATTTTATACAGGTGGAGATCATTGTTGAGAAGAACTCCCAGAAGATCATAATGCTTGGCAAGGTGAGTGTTGTCTTGATGATGCATTGAGCGGTTTAGATGCGTTTGTTTCATGCATCAAGTGATCAAACTGATGCTTGGAAACCTGTGTAAATGCAGGATGGGAAGGCCATGAAATTACTAGCTACAGCAGCTAGACTTGACATTGAAGATTTCTTGCAGAAGAAAGTCTACCTTGAGGTGCAAAGAAATCATCTTTTACCTGGTCGGTTTTTCACCAATTTTACAAAGAGTTATTCTGAGTTTACTAACGTAGGGATTGACTATTATTATAGATGGAGGTGAAAGTAAAAGAGAATTGGCGGCAAGATGAGGGGTTACTGAAGCATTACGGGTATGGCGGACAAATTCGAGCATTGTGAATTGTGATAAGCCACTGTCCCCGCCATTATGTAGGTTCTTCATTCTCTCGGATAAGTGAAAGATGTAACATGATTATCAACGTCGAGAGGGGAACAGTTTTGACTTGTATGTTTAGCCCCCTTCGCAAGTTCGCAAGTCCAGTCGTGTATATTTTCAAGGGGCACAATCTTGTGACTTGTGAGCATACTAGGCCATGTAATTGGGCCGAGGCTGGTAAACTCAGCCAAGCATGAGAGCCCATCAAGGAATTGTTTTCTGGTTCAGTGACATTGTCGACTGTTGCCTTAATATAATAAATTTTAGGGTTAATTGCACTAAGATTAGAAAAAACATTCATGTTTGGTTACGGAAATATTTAAATTTAATCTTGGTCACTCAAATTAGTTAAATGGTTCAAGTATGATCACTTTTTGTCCAACTCCATTAAATTTGTCTGATGTAGCAGTCAACCCTCAAAGTTGACCGTTAACTCAGTGATGTGTCAATTAAAAAATAATAAATAAAATAAAATTTAATCTTCTACCATTTCCAACTCATTTTCGTAATAAAGAAAAACACATAAAACAAAAAAAATAACTACAATTACAAATTGAAAAGGAGAATATAGATTAGAGAAATAATGAAATATAAATTATTGGGTTTCAAAATTGAAGCTAGGATTTGGAAATATTTAAATTCAATCTTGGTCACTCAAATTTGCAGTTGTACTGGTGATACGAAGGAGAATAATTGGTGGGATGCTGCGGTGCTCTTCCGTCATAAGGGCTCCGTCTTGCTACGCTTGGTGAATGCAGAGAATGCGGAGAAAATAGTTTGTACCCAGTGATTGGGCTCCACGGAAGGTATGGGTTTTGTTAGAAACCGAACAGAAAAATTAGGGTTACCGATCTGGCTGAGTCGCGGACTAGGTCGCTCTCTTTAAGACGTTCGCGGCACTGCCTTCGTTGCGCACGGCAGACTATCAGCCGGTCGCCTCCAGGATAAAACAGCCATTCTTATTTTGTTGCTCATCGGTTTTGTGCGAAAACCGGAGCTCTATGAACTCACTCTCTATCTCGTGTTTCTGCTCTCTGAGGGTGTGTTTAGAGGGTCTAGGGGTCTGCTATTTATAGGCGCAGAAAACCTAGAATATTCCCTCTTTCTTTGGGAATAAGCCACATTTTAATTAGGAAGATAATTACTTCCATAATTAAAATATATTATATTATATTAAGATAATTAATTCTAATTATCTCCATAATATTCTTTTTATTAATTATCCTTCCTATTTTCGTATCTAGAAAGAATACGGGATAATTAATTCAATATAGCTTTCAAAGCTATTCATTCCCAACAATCCCCCACTTGAATAGTTTTGAAACTATCTCAAAGCATAACAGATCCATAAGATCGGGCATAAACTAAGGTATCGCGAAGATTTGAACCTTAGCGTAGTGGTTACACTTCCGATTTCATAAGGGTGACTCGTAGTCTTGAACCCTATCTCAGACAATGTAGCACACCGGATCTTTTCATTGAGTGATATTCTCTCATAGGCCGTGCGTTTATGGCCATGCACGTTATCCCGGTTTAGTGAACGCTCTAGCAACTTTGTGCCTCCAAAGTCCCATAGAGAGCGGCCCCACTCCCACATTCACATAGGTGAGTCTATCAGAAGTACCCCCAAAGTAAAGTACTTCACTCCACATAGAGTATAGATCTCATTAAGAGTTTTAACTCAACCTCCAAGGCTTTGGGATTCATGCTTCAATATGCATGAACTTTTCTCAATATTACTCATGACTTGTTATTACCCATTGAACCCGTTTCTTGGGATCTCCAGTCTATCGGGTCGGGTTACCATCACTTGTAATCCATGGTTCGGTAGGCATAAGTCTCATACCCTTCGTGGTATTTTGGACTTTCTCTCTAGATAATCCTTTCTTCAAAGGATCAACTAGATTCTGTTAGGACCTTACAGGATCCACCCTCATTGCTCCTATCGTTAGGAGTTCTCTTACAGTACTGTGCTTACGACGAATTTGTCGTCTCTTTTCGTTCTAGAACCGGTTCCCTTCTTTAGTAATAGCTGCGGTGCTATCACAATGAATCAACTACCGGAGGGATCGGTCTTTCCCATGAGGGATTCTCTAGTAATGATCCTCTCAATCAACTTTCCTCTTTACTAGCCATTGCTAGTTCTATCATTTCCGATTTCTTAGTTGATTGAGCCAGGATCGTTTACTTCTTAGACTTCCAAGACATAGCTTCTCTATCGATGTTTAAAACACAGCCTCTTGTTGTCTTGGAGTCCTCTATAGGGTATTCTAATCCGCATCATTATACCCTACCAGTACAGCAAAACCTTTGATAACAAATACCAAGGTTTTTCTGTTCTTTTAAGGTGTCTCATGACCCCTTTCAATAGCATTGCAATGCTTCATACTAGGACAATCAGTAAGCCTGCCAAGTACCCCCACTATGTCGGGTCTCATGTTTATCAGCTGCCTCTCGCAGACTGTCGATGCTAGTATGTTCTTACTTTATTACACCGTCTTTGGTGCTCTTAAAAAATTATACTAGCACCATCAAACATTTATGCAGGTGTAGAACTCGTATTTCCTCTAGATCTAACTTTGTAGTTAAACTGATCCAGATGAAATCTCTTTCATTGTCCTAGTAATCTGGATCTCTAAGCATAACACTTGCTTCATCCAGATCTTTTTGCCTTCATAATTCTCAAACAACATGGTTTTTCATAATATTGACATCACGAGTCTTTGTACCAAAGATCGAAGTGTCATTCATAATGCGAGTGTCATTCTCAAATTTGTACTAAATGCACTTGTCACTTTCATTTTAAAACCATGAGAGAGAACTCGATTGTTCATGCCACTGTTTATGAGTCTATTTCAAATCCTATAATGATTTGTCTAACCATAGACTCCAGAAGCATGTTCTAGAATAACAACCTTTAAGATTGTCCCAATGTAGATTTCTTTATTCAAATCACCATTCACAAAAGTATTTTAACGTCCATGTGATGGATGTTATTCTACATATTGGTGAATAGATATCAAAGAAATCTACAATTTATTTCCCCTTCACCTAAAGCCTTCGCTACTAGGCGATCATTATACTCATAAACTAAACCATCAGGTATCAGTTTTCCTTTTAGGAATCCATTTATTACCTTGGCATCATTGCCAAGAGGTAATTCTCAAAGATGCCAAATCTTGTTCGATTCTATCGATATATTACCCAAGGCTTTTCAACCAAGAGGTAACTCTACAAGATTTTAAGTCTTATTAGACTCCAATAATTCCATTTCGTTAATAATGGATTCTCCCACAATTCTGCATTTTTATGGAAGTTCGAACTTCTAGCAGACTTGTAGGATCTTTCTTTTTTAGGGTGTAAATAACAAATTCATAACCAAAATCCTTTCATGATTTATGGTTCATTTGTCTCTTCTGGGTTCATACTCAGATTCATCACCCCCACTAGTTATCCATTATTTATAATAGTAGGCAGGATATCACCCCCACTATTTCTTAATATGAATGGAATCTATTGGCATCAATGGTTTTCACAAAGTAATGAGTATTTCATTTCATAGGCTTATGTGTTTTACAATAACTTACACACTCATATGCTCTTCTAGTTATCATGTCACTGATTCTCTAACGCTACCACATGCATGCCACATATCGAATAATCAGTGCAATCATAATGCAACTAGGCATTTCAAACTATTTCGAATAACTAGTTAGACAATCAGAGCACTCTAAAGAGCAATAAATTATTTATTGTCTTTTCCAACAAGTTCACCCATATCAAAATAAATCAGATCTATCGATTCTGATTCTCTAACCACATATTTATGGGTCATTTAGCCTGAATATACAAAATTCATATTTTTCTCAAGCATCCAATAATAATATGGGAATGCGATATAAGATATTCTAATTCTTCACAAAGACACACTCGTCCCAAAAAAGAATCCATCTTAGATCGTCTATCACAGACATCCCTTGGGGCGCTAGTATCCAACAACCATTCTTCAGAGTTACCATTAAGGCTAACCTCTGTCATCACCTAAGCGATTATTATTGCCAAATCCTCTTCTTTAATCAAGTTAACACAATACTATGTTAAACTTGCTCTAACACTTTCGTGTCGTATGACCTAGTTTTTCTCAAATTTAATTGAGAAACATAGCGTCATTCTTAGAGAATTGTGTGACAATCTTATGGTTACCACGATGGGTACCATTCTAATTGGTGTGGATCTGGTTCAGCTTGCTGCTCTCTTTATTAAAACTTTAATGTTTCACAGCAACCTAAGTGGTTCGTGTAGTACTGATAATAGTACTTCTTATAATATCGTTATTATGGGCAATAAACCCATTCTATTCCCATATATTCTTCACATATATGCATTTAGACAAAATCATTCTTTCCATAGCATGTAGTCAATTTATGCTCTAATCATTGAGATAGGTAATATATCTCAATGTCAACTTATCATACATCCATTCAAGTTTTCATTCTAGTATTCATAACCTTTCTCAATTCCATGCATCAAAGGTTCATAGAAATATATTCTAATTTGTCATTTATTAATGACTCATGAGGATGGTTAAGGTACTTACCTCCTCTCGAGAGGTCATTGCCTTCTCATTTGGCTACGAGTAGCTCTCCCCACGTAAAGCTTCCTTATTGCTTTTCATCCCTTCGATCTTTAGGGGAAACACTTCATCTTCACGTGGACAATAGCAGCAGCAATTACCATATCCATGCAAAGATATGCCCCGGGCTACTATCTACTGATCTCTGTTTGGGCCCCCATTAATCCTTTAGCTTCAGACTAGGATTTTGAAACCCCGGCCAGCTGTGCTGCAGATTCAAGTCTGCTGCGAGGCCCACTTCTGTTCAATCTAGTAGCATTTTCATCAGCCTAAGCTTCGAACTGGGCTTGTTATGACCTGGCCCAACTGAGTGAGCTATTGGCCAGATCCCTACTTCGGCCGTTCTTGTCCACAACGCCACCTCTTCAATTGACTATTTTTTATCCTTGATTTACGGAGACATAGCCAAGGCCCAAGAGAAGACTGGTGGTAGGTTGGGATTTGTCGTCCGATCGAGGAATTTCTTTGCGGTGCTCCGACGTCGTTATCATCATCGATCGTCGGAACTCGTTCATCCCGCCGCCGCTGCCGGACGCCATCTGCGGCTGCTTCCCAGCATCCTCGTCGTGAAGGTCCGGTCACCGCAGGTACTCGTCGCCATACCTCTAATCCAAACCAGGACTGCTATCGGAGCCTAGACCCCGCCGCTTGGGATCCCGGCCG